TTTTTGACATGTAGTAAATGGCATTGTTTATTGGATGGAGGAAACTGAAGTCTAGTCAGAAATGTGAAAGGGATGAAAAAGTTCAGCGCAACTGGACCCAAGTGTCCTGAGTTTTACCAAACTGCCCATAAAAAACCACCTGTCATGGTTGGTGCATATCTGTGGTCCTTATTACTTGGTCCTTATTACTTGGTGCTGAGGTAGGAGGCTTGATTGAGCCCAAGAGTTTGAGACTAGCTTAGGCAGTAAAGTGAGACCATGTTTCCAAAAAAGCATGAGAAAAGCAGTTATTGTAGAGGCTGAGTGTAGCTCAGTGATAGAGCATGTGCTTAGCATGAAAGAGGTCCTGGGTTCAACCCATAACAACAACAACAACATCAACAACACACACACAATCTTGTTTTAGATATCTTCTTCTGGAAGACATATATTTTCAGCTCAGGAAGATTTTATATTCAGATAAGATACAGGATATAGAAAACTTTATGAAGTATGTACAAGTTTAGAAATACATAATTTGGTTTTGCAGTTATGCTTAGGTTTTGAGGATGGAAAGAGCTAGAGAACAGAATAATAAGAGAAGAAATGGCAAAAATAAAAATTGTAGTGTTCAGCTTAAGAGAGATGGGAAGGCATGAAAAATCCCCAGAGGAAGGGAGAAGGAAGTATAACAAGAGGACAGACAGGCTAAGTGTCAAAGGCATACTTGATCTCGCCTTATGCTCTATGGTTCATCTGAATTATTGTTTTATTCTGAAAGCTTGGTTAACTTTCTATTCACAGCTTTTCAACTGCTTAAGAATTTGTACCCCTGAATCTCCAGTCTTTATTGGGTAACCTGCAGGACATTATGCCAAGGAAAAAATTAAAATTTTAAACACAGTAGCAAATAATTAGACTAGGTCATCTTTAAATTACAAAAATCAAATAAACAGGCCATTCTCCAACCCTGAATTTCTTTTTTCCTGGTCACTGAAAGGACACTAAATTTAATCCTGTCTTTTATTGTAGGTTTTGTAATCAACAATGGATTTTAGGGAATAGAAAGTTCTTGATCAGTGAAGAAGATATTTTTAAAGTTAAGTCTTATGACTTCTCTTCACTTGAGACACATACTCTACGAAAAAGAAAATCACTATACATCATAGATGTGAAATTATTTAAGACAAATGATGATTTCCCAATAACTCTGGCATGGCATTTGCTTTTAGTGATGGCTTTTACAAGGTAGCAAATCACACTATGCCTTTGACAATATCCATAAGATATTTCTATCAGATTGGAGTTAGCTCTCTTAAACTTTGACATTATAATCAAGTAAAAGAACACATCTTTTTCACATTTGTACAACGCATGATATTCTAAATTCCTTTTATTTTTATATCCAAATTACAAATGGATTGCTCTTACTGCCTTATTTATATGGACTAATCACATACGGCTTATTGAGATATCAGTATACCTAGAGCTAAGCTAGTTAATGGAGACTAGACATTTGAGTTCATCACTGGAATTGCCCATCTCCAGTATGTTTATTGGGTATTTTTTGCCTGATTTTGATATTGCTGTTTAATTTTAAAAATATTTGTAGTTCCTTACCACATACAAAATGCAGACATGAGCATCAGTGGCACCAATATGTATATTATAAGGTACTTGTTATGTGTGGGTACAATGCTCAGTACAGAAAAAATGGTACCACAATTCTAAGACGCATAAATATATACTCATATTGGAGAAGACAGAAGATATACACAGGTGAAAAATTAAAAGCTAAAATTTTTTTAATAGACACAAACGTATCTTTTAATCTTCATTTTCTTTCAGTGGATAGAAATCAAACTTCAGGTATAAATATGAAGATACTTATACTATTCAAATATATCTCCCTATATCAAGCACTTTGCATAAGCTCTCATTTAATTATTATTGAAACACTACCCATGATACTTCTTGTAGTCCAGGTTTACAAGGGAAAGAGTTTAAAACAAGACACATAATTTATAGAATTATTTTATAATAGTCACCCAAAAAGTCAAACACAAAAAGTGCAGGAAATGTTTTCAATACTAAAGACCCCAAAGAATCCATCCGAGGCCTTGGATCCCAATGGCCTACATAAGTGGCGCAATGGCACAGTGTCCTACATAAGTCCAGAAGTCCAGCTGAAGACTAGAGCCCATGACAATGTCTCATGCAAGTCTGTTTCATGGATCTGCACTGGGAAGGCCCAAATGTCAGCATGAACCTAGAAGGTCTGTGTCAGTAGAATAAAGGATCTGTGTGAAGGTTCTTCACTGGAGCCAGGAGGTGATACTTCAAAGTATGAACCAGAGCTCCCCTGAAAAGTACCACAGCCATTCTCAGCTTCAGTGAGGTCCTGTGGTCCTCTGATAATGAGAACAACCAAGTTCATATCAGGAAGCAAATGTGACAAGCTTCTCCAGGTGATTGAATAACACACCATCTTCCTCTCTAGAGCCAGGAAGCAATACTCATATAGAACCAAAGCTCTCCCAAAGTGAACCACAGCCATTCTCAGCAATAATAAGGTCCCGACCTCCTCTGATGATAACAGTTCATATCAGGAAAAAAGCTCGACAAGCTCCTCCAGGAGAATCAATGGCAATAGGACGACCAACAATACCTCTTCTTCCTCTCCAGTTCTCCTTATGTTGGCAACAACCCTCAGGTGGGCCGTCTTCCCCCAGCACCATGCTGACTCAGTTCAGCTGGGTGTTAAAAGTTGCCCACCATTTGTCAGTCCAGCACAGTAATGTTGTCCCCATTTTGTAGATTAGGAAATTGAAGCTTAGAGAGTTTAAGTTACTTGCCCAATCATTATATCTCCTCTCTAATTTTATAAAATTAGGCATATTTGTCATCTGTGAGGGAAGTATATATGTATATGCCTGGAATATTCCAGTAACCATGTAGTTGAAAAACTCCCAATTCAAATATATTTACGGCCATTTTTAAAATAGTTCTTATTTAGTCCATCTACACTTTTTTCACAAACCTAACATGTTCATTTGAGAGGATACTTGCCCTCCAGATGGAGAAATAAATTTAACTTTCAGGATGTAGAAACCAGAGGCATACAGAAATTGGTGTGCATTTTTAAAAGACTGCTATTTATAAGAACTTCTGAAATCTAAAAGTTCTTTCCTTTGGTATAAGCCATTGATTTATGAAGCATGGTGTTTTACATTAAAGGTAATGTTTGGAGTTCATGATTTTCCACAAAGCATTAAAGGAGAAGATAGGTATGAAGCTTCTAGCTGCTGCAGATCAGAATAATAGATCAATAAGGGAGAGAATACTAGAGCAGTAATGTTTTAAATAATTAGCATACAGGAGAAAAGAGTTGGAAGTAAAAGAAGACAAACATTGTGATATACATATATACATAAAGCATAAGCATAGAAACATGCAATTTAGGCAGGATATTCCAGTTACTTCATTTATGCATTTTCTGGCCATATATATTTAAAGAATTGATTTGCTATTTAACATCTATTAAATATATAAAGTGGATATGCATTATACTCATCAATATGGAAATAACTAAATAGAGAGGATAGTCTTGATCTTCAAGCACTTCTAGCATACTGTGGAAAAAATGTTATCACTGTGGTGTGGTGACATAGAAAAGACATTCATGGACAGTTTCATGTTCCCAGAGGGAATATTTTTATAGGAGACTGTCTGGAGGGAGGGAAGTGTGACCTGAGTCTTGAAGAGCAAGCAGAAGTTAGTTAAAAGGAAATGAGAGAAGTGGAAGCGGGAGAAGTGTTATATCCTTCCAGAACATAACACAAACACATCAGAACTTAAAACAGTGATACATACAGTATGGAATTGTTGCTGTGCAGAAATTTCTCCTTAATGTGTTATAATTTCTGTGGCTTAAGTTAATCATGGGCAAACAAGGTGCAAAAGTAATACATGGAAATTTCAGAAATTCATGAGTTAAGTAATTTTTATTATAGCATATTATTACATGTAATTGTGCTAATTTACTATTAGCTCTCTTACCATGCCTAATTTATAAATTATATCTTATGCATGTATAGAAACGAACATAATTTATACAGGGCAAAACACTTTTTGCACTTTCAGATCTCAGTAGACCCCTTATTAATGGCCAGTGCATCCTCTAAAGATAAGGGGTTATTGTAGAATGGGAGAGAGAGAGAGAGAGAGAGAGAGAGAGAGAGAGAGAGAGAGAGAGAGAGAGAGAGAGAGAGAGAGAGAGAGAGAGAGAGAGGAGGTGAGTGTAGGGAGACAAATAGGCAGCTCTAACATAGCTAACTAGAGTTTTTGTGCTAGTGAGATTTTTACTTCCCATAACAATGAGTCTTTGCAGCCTTTCAAGCACATGAGTGGCAAGGTCAAATTTGTATCTTAGTAGATCATTTTAACAGCTGTATATAGTTTTTAGATGGCCAAAATCAAAATTGGTACCCAGTAAAGAGGCTGTTGTAGAGATGTAGCTAAGAGGTGCTGAGGGTTTAAACCAGTGCTTTGGACGGGAACTTGATAATTTTGGTGGAGGACTTTAGATTTCTTTAGGAGCTATCATTGGTAAGATTTGTGCTTATTTGAATGTTGGTGGATGAATCGAAATTTCTCAGACTTTGAGCTTGGGTGATGGCATGCAGTGGGAAAAGCCATAAATCTGACCATGCATGTTGAAGGGATGGTCAGTTAATCATCAGCATATGTATATGACATTCTGCAGTTTGAGAATGCAGTATCTGGTGACTTCTTTGAGAACTGTCACCTTACAGCTGCATATGGCTGAATACATGGCTTCTTCTGTGTAATAATACGTTGTGTCACACCCCTTTCCTAGCCTATAGCAAAGATTTATAGCTTCAAAAAATAAGCAGTCATTAATATTATACCTTCTGGTTTTAACAGCAGAATGATCCTGTAGAAAAGGAAGCTTTCTAGGAAAAACTGTGAGTAACCAAATGATGGTTGTTTTCTTCCAGGGGTCAGTGGACATGCCTGCCTCAGAGAAACACAGCTGCAGCTGACCTCGTTTTTTTTTTAAAGGACCTGGCTGTGCAGCTTTGTCCAGTGCAAAATGGCAGAAAAGGTCCCCCCGGGTTTAAATAGGAAGACTTCCAGGTCGACGCTTTCTCTCCCTCCAGAACCTGTGGACATTATCAGAAGCAAAACGTGCTCACGGAGAGTGAAGATCAACGTGGGGGGCCTCAACCACGAGGTGCTGTGGAGAACGCTGGACAGGCTGCCCAGGACGCGCCTGGGGAAGCTGCGGGATTGCAACACGCACGAGAGCCTTCTGGAGGTGTGCGATGACTATAATCTCAATGAGAATGAGTATTTCTTTGATCGACATCCCGGAGCCTTCACGTCCATTTTAAATTTCTACCGGACAGGGAAGCTGCATATGATGGAAGAAATGTGCGCGCTCTCTTTTGGCCAAGAACTTGATTACTGGGGGATTGATGAGATCTACTTAGAGTCCTGCTGCCAAGCCAGATATCATCAGAAGAAAGAACAGATGAACGAAGAACTGAGGCGAGAGGCAGAGACCATGCGCGAGCGAGAAGGAGAAGAGTTTGATAATACCTGCTGTCCTGAGAAACGGAAGAAACTTTGGGACTTGCTGGAGAAGCCCAACTCTTCGGTGGCCGCAAAGGTACGGAAATCATGGTATTGGTAAAAAGGTGGTTCCAAAATTCCAGAGGATATGGGTTTCTTTATTGCTTTTCTAAAATAGAACCAGATGTGCCTGCGCGGATGGTGAAAAATTCTTTCCAACTTATTTGGTTAAACGTAGCCATTCTTCCTGTGTGATGCCACAAAGTGGTATTATGTTTGTAAATATAATTATCTGCAGGAAGAGGCCTGTGCAGCAGAGTACAGAAGAGATTTCTAATGCCAAATGATGTTGGTGACTGGTGTTGATCTGGAGGATGAGGAGAAAGCTCTAGCTCTTACCCATTAGGTACGGAGCCTCACAGAAGAGCTGGACCAGGGCACCATCTTGCATAAGGAGAAAGGGTAGCCATTATAAAGATAGCAGGTGCTTCCTAGCATGGTTTTACAGAAGTCCAGGGAAAGAGAGGAAAGCATGCCTCTCCCCAGTGGCTCAGAGGGTTGGGAGACCATACACAGAGGATAGAGTTGTCTGATTCAGCTGCATAATGAATAAATGTATGTTCAGAATGCATCCATTTATCTCTCCTTGTGAGGTATACTTTAACAAGGGTGTGTCTGACTGTTGATGCCTATTTTTGTTTTATATTTGAAGCATTACCATCTCTCTGGGTTCATAAAGTACTCTCTTGAAGTAAATTCATATTTTTCTATTGTGTCCATATATATCTAAGTCTCAGGCTAAATTTTTGGTCGCAAATCTCAATGTTTAATTCAACTGCATGATCTTGTGTATCTAATTTTATCTAGAGCATTGGGGGTTAGTGCAAACTGATCTGCAGTATGAATGGTAATTTTAAAAGTCAAAAGAGTCATGTTTAGCTGCAGGAGCCTTATATTGATGTTTTTGCATAATATAGGAAATGGTATATGGAGTGGAAAAGGAAAGAATGTGTCATCATATGAGTTCTTTTTATTACATAGTGTTTTCAGATATCTTCTTCCTTTTAACAATAGTGGTTACATAAATATAATAGACCATCTGAACCTTTTAACTAGAAATTATGATTCTACAGGATAATCCTGAACACATTGAAATTATCATAGGGTGCAGATGATAATAAAACTGTTTCTTGCATTGTTTGATATGTCTGGTTTTGTTTCTGATTGACTTCTAAAGGAATTTTGTTTTCTGGCCAGAGGACATGAACCTAAATGAAATAAAATGTCTTTCTCTTGTGCACAATGAAAGAATGTGTATTTTGTGCCAATAGGTGATTTAACTAGGTTATTTGGTAGTTATAAATCAGTGTTTTATTATATTCATTTTACTGGTGAAAGAAATAAGTTGCAACATTTGTGGGTTTGAAGGAGGGAAAGACTATTGCTTTTTCCTATGTCAAGTGTTGACTTGCATATTTGAGTAATTGCTAAAAATATGGAGTGAATTTCAAAAGTAAATGAGATACACTCTAGATGTGAGTGAGTATTGTTGGTGTTACAGTAACTTCTATAAGGTTTGAGGCAACTGAAGAACAAATTGTTTTTCAATCAGAAGTGCTGGAAGAATTTAGCCAATGATGTAAAAATAAGCATCAAATCAAATAAAATTTGAAAGTTTAATGTGATTTATTTGTTCATAGCAACATTAACATATACCTCAAGTCAAATACTGCTACAGAAAAATGTTTCAAATGTATATGAATTTTTTCATGATGAATTTTCAGTAAGACTAGAATAGGGTCAATAACCTGATTTCCCAGGTAGGGTAGTATATTTAATTTCTAAATTCTAGAAGCAGCAGCCATCACTTGATCGCTAAGAATGTGATGTTGTTGTGAACTATTTAATATACTATTATATTGCCCCATGCATCAGACAGATCATTTAAACTTGCTTCAAATTATGTATTTTCTATGGATAGGATTTCTGCCTATAATAGCACCTACGGACACTGATTTTGGAAGTTTCTATGTAGTTATAAATAATAAATTTGTCTCCCCATTATTAAGGAAGCTAAGTGAATCTTTGTTACCATGAGTAGATTCTTCTCTAAAATTTCTGAAAGTATTTATATTTGTTTATTTAAATGTCTACACTACCCTCTGCTTGAGTGGTACAGTAGTATGGCAATTATTTTCCTTGGATTATATTGTAGATTGGTAAAAATGTTGCTTATTTGTCTGGTTTGGAGCCTTTTGCATGCTCTGTGTGAGATATATATATATATATATATATATATATATATATATATATATAACTACCACCTTTTTCTTCATGCTTCTCAAATCAGATAACTTGTTACTTCTCTGGAGTAAATCTTGGTGAAGAAGGTACTATTGCAGGTATGTGGGATTATAGGATTTTTAGAACTTAAAAATAGTAGGTTTATTACTGCTATATGATGATACTCTAGCCCTTTCTGTGTACTTTACATTACGGTATGTCAGGCCCTTACATATGCATGAAGCTCTTGTGTAGGTATGTGCAATGAATCTCTGTGTTCTTCCTTATTGGCTTAGGAGGTGAAGTATCTTTGGAGGAAGTTGCTTGTTTATCTTGCCTTTTCAAAGACTGCTTATTCAGTTTGGTTATTCGATTGAACATATGTTCTTCATGTGCTATACAGTATACACATAAAAGTAGGCACTTAGCCACTCCATTCGTCCCAGAATTTAAAAAAATATTCTGTTATTCTGTTTTTTAAATAGGAATTTCATGCCACTGAAAATACTTGTTTTCTCTCTTTTGGTTTTCCTATATTTTCTAATATATCTATAATATTTCTGTAATAGAGAAAGCATAAAAGTTTTAAGACTGTCAAATTCCTGGTAGAAGTAATATTCTATCAGACATTTCATAAGGTAGGCATTTACTTACTTAAATATCATATATTCAATAATTCAGTGGTAATTGCTCAGCTGTTGTCATGTGTATCTACTATAATTATTGTACAAAATTATTGCAGGGCCCATTGATTTCTCATACTGTTTTCAGGTATGACCCTGACAACAACAGTTCAGTTGTAGAGAACTGGCTCCCTGATATCCCAAAAGGAGCCACTTTAATTGAATTTTCTTGTGCATTAATAGCTGAAAAATGCAAAACTAGGCTTGAGAATGTGGCATACTTGAAATGTCTATTATTGATAAATTAATATTGTGTACATACACAAAAGATTATTAAATATTATTGTACTTTTCACAAACTGTGACAGGATTAATATAAATTGTTATTGTTTAGCTCTCAAGGGTGTGGATGATCCAGTAATGCAACACAAATTCATGTCTGTAAAATTCATGTCTGCTTTCAGTCCCATGGTGCTTGTGTATACTCTTATGTCGACTGTTTAAATTTGAGGCTGTGGTAAATATGTGGCCCAGCAACATGGGACTGGGGAGTAGCTGAAACAATGATCTGGATTACCTCCACAAGGGATTGCTTGCTCTTGTATCTTTCACAGAAACCTGCAGGCGAGGAGATGGGCTTAACTGGCTGCCATTTCCTAGCAGTGACTTAGAATCAGACCTGATTTTGTATCTCCTGTAGGCCAGGGTAATTTATTCAGTATCTGGATTCAAAACTATTTTTCTCTCTTTTAGTTGACCTCTTCCCAAAGGATGTACGGTAGCCATTCCCCTGTAAATACTGCATGCATTGACTTCAGTCTGAGAGATGTTTAAAAGCCTTGAAGGGAAATGTGTCCTATGGTGTGTGGTAATATCAGGCTCTGGATGAAAAGAGAGTCAGCAGGTAACATAGCCCACCTGAGATCTGAGAAAAACTAGGCTCACCAGTACCAGACAGATCTTCATTCTGGGAATCTGAAGGTCAAGGACCAAGGAAATCATCTGAGCCCCTGGCATGGCTATGCCTTAACCTGGCAGTGTGGATGGATAGAGAGTGAAGATGTTGTCTCACAGCAGAGTGATCTTTGGGCCCAGGATAGGTGAATACATGGGAAGCTACACTATAAGTGGCCCTTGTTTGATGAGAACAACAGAAAGCAAAATCTGGAGAAACACATATCTGTTCATCAGAAGCAGACAACTAGAGCCCCCTAGCATCCTTACTGGGCAAGATATAGGGCCACATGAGACACTGTGTGTTATCTCTGTTATAGATTATAACTGGATGTCCCCCAAAGCCTTGTGATCATAGGTGGCACTTTGGGGAGGTGACTGGGTCAGGGAATTAGCCCATGAAGAATTTATAGCTAAAATTGATGTTGGTAAGTAAAGTCTGGCCTGGAATCACGTATCTCCTTTCATTGGTCTTACTCTCTGCTCCCACCACCATACCATAAGCTGTTTCTTCACTGCCATGACACCCTGCCTCAGAGCCAGATGACTGTGGACTGACACCTCGATAAACTGTGAGCCAAAATTAACCTTTTTCCTCTTGCAGTTGTGGGTGTCAGATATCGTGTCTTAGTGACAGAGAAGCAACTAAAGCAGTCTCCTCCTCAGTTTACTCATTATTTCTCAGTTACCACTTCTTACATTTTCCCCATTTTTCTGCCTTCTTCTCTTTTTCTTTATCTGCCTTCCCTTCCTGTCATTGTCTTCTTCCTCTCTTATTGTTTCTCCTCCTTCTTCCCCTTGGTCTCCTCACTCTTTTTCCTTTCTTACTTGTATCTAAAAGAAATGGCTCCATGTCTTCCTCCTGCCCTAACTCATCCCTTTGTTTCTCCTACTTGTTCTGTTCTGTACCACCTCTATGTTGCATCCTCAAGTAAGCTCTAACTAAGCTTAAGGAGAGAGGGAAATGATTAACTGGATGAATATGTCTCAGTTTATTTTTGTTACTAGACCTTAAAGAGAAAAATTAAGTTAAAATTAAATTCTAAGGAGAGAAGAGGAGCTAAATCATAATAAGATGTAATAAAACACTGTCGAGCAGAGCAAAGATACGAGGGCCACTTGTTAGGCTTATAGGTGTATACATGGTCACATGGAAAGCTTTGGCTCTGTAACACTCTGCATTTAGTTTTCTGATGCTTTCTTTTGTGATTAAAAACATAATAGCCATTAAAACTAT